AGGATTGGTAAAGAAACTTCGACGACGAGGACTGTGGAGGCAGGAGTACCGCAGGGAGCGGTTCTATCACCCCTGCTGTATGCAATCTACAGCTCAGACATCCCGAAGACTCCACAAACGCAACTGTATGTGTATGCGGACGATACAGCATATGCGGCAGAAAGTACGAGACCCCGCATGGTTACGGAATATCTGCAACGAGCGACTACCAATCTAGAGGAATGGTGCATCAAGTGGAAGATCCGTCTCAACCCCGAGAAGACCGAAGCGGTACTGTTCCGAGGAAATCGAAGATTACCTCAGACCAAAATAAAGATGACGACTACCAGAATGGAGAGAGGCTGGAGAAGAGACGAAGAAGTTGAGGTCGACTGGAAAGATTCCAGCACATACCTTGGTGTCAAGATGGACCAGAAACTCACTTGGAAGAACCATGTCAAAGACCGGGTGCAGAAAGTGAAAATGGCACGCTCCAAACTAAGACCCTGAACGGGCAGAAGAAGCAAAGTGTCACTAAAGAATAAGACCATCATGATTCAGATGGTGCTGCTACAAATCATGACTTACGCAGCAGTAGCTTGGGGCTACGTTTCCAAAAAGATGAAGAAGAGGCTCCAAGCTCAACAAAACATGGCACTCCGTGAAGCGGTGGACGCACCGTGGTATGTACCTAACAGAGTGCTATATGACGAACTACGACAGGTACCGGTCGTAATCCAGATGAAAGAGAGGGCCCGAAAGTTCTTTGAAAAGAACGAAAGGCACCGAAACGTGCTGATTAGAGACGCCTTGGATTACGACCCAAGAACAATAAGGCATCACAAATGACCGAAAAGCCAGCTGCAACATGAAGAAATTTGGCCCTAGCAGCTGATGAGGCCAAAGAAAAGGGGAGAAGACCGACAATAGTTGTACACCCAAGAGGGGAAAGAACAGCCCGTGTACAACGGGTGGACAAAAGAAGCCAGTCCATTGAGGTGGCCAGAGTCAAGCACGGACTCGGGGCTAACCTCAGGAGAAGAATGACTTACTAAAACGACTGACTGACGACGACTGACTGACCCAGTCGACGAGGAAAGAGCGAAGGCTTACCAACCTTTAGGAGGGGCTTAGGTCAAAAGCCCCCAGCGCAGGACCCCCAAGAAAAGAGGCCATCCATAAAGTCGAGAACCGACAGTTGGAAGAAACGTCCACCACGTGCTTCCGCGACGCGTGCGCGATCGAGCCAATTTCGGGAAACAGGGGCAAAATTGGGGAGGGGGGATAGCTCGTTCGGCAGCACACACTCGGGGAATGCGCAAGCGGCCTGAACCACGCAGCGTCACGCCAGGCCTTCGGGCGGGAGAGGAGGGAGGAGCACATTGCTCTTCCCCCCACTCCTCAAGGGTTTGAGGTTGCCTGGAACAGGGGTGGTGGAGGGACCGCACAGGGTAGGAGGGTGTGTGTGTGTGTGGACACGTGCTGCAGGGCTCCTTGCTAGAACTTCACTTGGTTTTTCTTAATAGCTGTCTATGTTGTTTGTAATCCTAGCATATTTCTGGCTTGGTCATTGGTGCTTTTATATCATTGTTGATATATTGCTCCAGTAAAGAGTTTTAAAGTGATTTAATTAAATTGGTTTAATAGATTTTCTGGGACATGCTCAGGTTCCTTAACAGAACATCGTGGCGCTAAAATGACAAAACGTAGAATTGCTTCGTTAGATCCAAAATAAAGGTAGATGAGATTCAAGGTTCCAGTTGACACTTTTCAATATTCTTGATGAATTGTGGTTTGTCTCACATGTTTTGCTTTTTTTACTTGTGTAAGGTATGAAACTTTATTATCACACCTTCGACTAGGATTTAGGCCCGTAGCGTCAGTCGTCCCTACAATTGTAGGGCGCCTTTATGGCCTCCTTGATTGTCATAGTTTTCTACTTCTCCGTGTCAGCGCTCTATTTTGAGGTTATGTCACAAACATCTATTTGCATCAAATTGTGCTTGCTTTTGAGTTATATCATGTTTTATCAGCCTGAAATTTCCTACAATTTAAAAAGAAAACATATCTTTACAATAGGAGAGCGCTGACGCTGACACGGGACAAGTGTAATCTAGAAATTTTTGAAGGAGAGAAAGGAGTATGACAATCAAGGAGGCCATAAACGCGCCCTACAATTGTAGGGACGACTGACGATACGGGCCTTAGCGATCAAAAAAAAACTTGAAACTATCTCACAATTGTTCAGGCCAATTGCTAAACATTGATGTCGATGCCTTTTGCAACGCTTATGACTATACTATATTGACGCTTACCGATAGATATATCTGATTTTATTCAACTCAAACCGTTTTTGGAAACTGTTGGAAACTCTATAACTACATGGAAACTCTTTATTGTATGTTTTTGCAGAAAAATACGAATTTAATACTGGTAACAGCTGTCAAGCTCACGGCTTCAGTCTGAACGACTTGCATCCTCTCTACCGACTACGATATCACGGATCAAAACAAGTCTGTTCTTTAATCGAAACTGTTAGATTCGGTTGTTTGTCATTGAATGTCAGGTTTCTACAAACAATAGAGTGCAAAGGTTACGTTAGGTCATATTTCTAATTCAACTAGCGTGTAACTGCAAACAGTGACGTCATCTCCACAACTGTAAAAGCTCATACCAGTAAAACTTTTCCATAGGAAGTGTACGAATATGGTTTTACTACCTACAAAATTTTTATTGACGTACGACCAGGAAGGCATAAAGTGGAACAATATTGTTTTATTACGACATATGTACGACATATCAATATTACGGCTTCTTTATGCCCGGTCGTTATTGGAAAATAATATTTGGTGGCTCCTCAGAAGATCGCGGTAGTAAATAAAGCATATGTAGTTTCCGCAAATTATTCTGGTGTTCCTTCCAGTCATAGTGAAAACTTCAGGTTGTCAAGAATGTCACTGAACTTTACTCACAGCTTATGAAAAGGGTTCAGTTTAGCATTTGTATATCCTATCCATGGAATTCAAGATATCTTCCGTCATGAAATTTATTACTTTCGACTGAACATCAAGTTCACACAAATTCCCTTCTGTCTATACGAATGTTATCTGCCGTCATCTCACAGGGCACTTAAACTCTGCTGGTATTTTTAGGGAATCCTAAATATGTGACATGTATGGCGGCGGTGTGATTAAACATACACGCATCTCTTATTTTTCTTAACGACATATCATATATTCCGCTGGAACACAATATTTGACATAATGGACCTAGTTTGGATGATGTATAAATATATCATATTGTGTTTATTACCATTGTCGGCATTTTATAAATTTAGTGTTTGACATTAAGGTCAAAAAGAAGGAAACATATGATTAGAATAATTTGGCTATGCCATTGCTTTTCTAACAATGTATCCCCATACTTTCTGATTTATCAGTTCAGAAGACATCGAACTTGAACAAAATTAACGAAACGATGACAATGTCTTGCCACAAATATTTTTTTATTTTCTTCAATTGTAACACAACCCTGTTCTATAGACTGACAGGATATTCACTATAATACTGGTTACCTATGTTTTAACATTTTCCCTCATTATTACATGTTTTTTTTTTCATAAAAATAGGGAAAATTTGTCGTTCTTCCGTTTTACGTCGCATTGAATTGTAAGGGTACATTCTATAAGTTGTTCTAGAATAAATATTTATTTCATCTGTGCATGTACAAAGTGCAAGATGGACATGTCTTGAAAAACAATTTATAAAAGAATGATAACAGAAAAAACGCAGATGTAAGTTACAACAAAAAATACACATACTAGCTAAAAGTTTGAACTAAATTGTTCAGTTATCGAGTAGAAATAATATTAATATGTTTAAACTAAACTGTATTAAGTTGACGAATACTTTTAGTAGATTATTGCATAGATCTAAAAGTGTGAAGTTCAGTAATATCGATAGTGAGAATTTGGGTACCCTCATCTACTTTTTGCTCAAAACCAGTGTCGTGCTGTTTTTTACATAACGCAACTTCAATTTTGTGTCTGTTGATGTAACTTTTGATAAATACATGTGCATGTGTAAAAATTCATCTCAATATCTCAATTTGTCTATGGTAAATATATGGTGAACAATAAGCATTTACGCATGTATGTGTATCCGAACTTTCTTTCACATCTTAGCGTGCTGAATCTGTCTTACAACTTCCCTGACAACTTTCCCGAACCCCCTGTATACATGCTTTTCAACTAACAAGTGTTTTCTGAAAACAACCCATCTGCTTCAGAAAAAAAGCCATCATCAAAATTTATCTTTTAACAAACATTCATAAGCACCGTGCCAGAGAAACTTTGAAAATTCAAGAATTCAGTTGTTCCCTGAACGCAAGAGTTCAGTCACTGGGCCGACCGCATTCGCCGTATCCTATAAATACAGCTTCGCGACCGTGGACGACTCTAAAGGATAGATAGTTGGATATAGCATCTCTAGTTCATTTAATCTGGATTTATGAAAATAAAATTATAAACACGTATCTGGCAATGATAATTCATTGGAAATTATTTTTGGAATATCGAAATGACCGCCAGTAGGCATGCTAGAAACTTCAAATTTTTATATAAAATGCAAAAATAATGATTTTTTCCCAACATTCAGCAATGCGGTAGAATCTAATATTTAGGATATGTGTGGCTGCATCGATTTTCATGACCTTTTCATGCCTTTTAAAAAAGGTTCAACTGCCGTTTCTAACGAGAACGGAGAGTTTGGAGCAGAGACGAAGAAGTTGAGGTCGATTGGAAGGACTCCAGCACGTACCTTGGAGTCAAGAAGGACCAAAAACTCACTTGGAAGAACCATGTCGAGGGCCAGGTGCAGAAAGTGAAGATGACATGCTCCAAACTAAGACCTTTAACAGGCAGGAGAAGCAAAGTGTCCTTAAAGAATAAGACCATCATGATTCAGATGGTGCTGCTCCAAATCATGACTTACGCAGCAGTAGCTTGGGGCTACGTTTCCAAAATGATGAAGAAGAGGCTCCAAGCTCAACAAAACATAGAACTCCGTGAGGCGGTGGACGCACCGTGGTATGTACCTAACAGAGTGATATATGACGAACTAAGACAGGTACCGGTCGTAATCCAGATGAGAGAGAGGGCCCGAAAGTTCTTTGAAAAGAACGAAAGACATCGAAATGTGCTTGACCCCTTGGATTACGACCCAAGAACAATAAGGCGTGATAAAAGACCGAAAAGCCAGCTGCAACAAGAAGAAATTTGGCCCTAGAAGCTGATGAGGCCAAAGAAAAGGGGAGAAGACCGACAATAGTTGTACACCCAAGAGGGGAAAGAACAGCCCGTGTACAACGGGTGGACAAAAAGAAGCCTGTCGATTGAGGTGGCCAGAGTCAAGCACGGATTCGGGGCTAACCTCAGGAGACGAAGACAAACAGCAAATGACTGACTGACTCCAGTCGACGAGGAAAGAGCGAAGGCTCACCAACCTTAATGCGAGGCTTAGGTCAAAGCCCCCAGCGCAGGACTCCCAAGAAAGATGCCGTCCATAAAAATCGAGAACCGACAGTTGGATGAAACGTCCATCACGTGCTTCCGCGACGCGTGCGCGATCGAGTCAAATTTCGGGAAAAAGGGGCAAAATTGGGGAGGGGGGTTAGCTCGCTCGGGACCGCACAGGGTAGGAGGGTGTGTGTGTGTGTGTGTGTGTGTGTGTGTTTCTAACGAAGGCTGAGGTTGGCCACTTTAGCTTCGTTTCTAGTCGCTAGGTGGCGCTCTACAGTAATCTTACCGTGTTCAGTAGTTTTTCAATAATGTGGTTTTATTGATTTTAGTACGTGAAATACTCTATAGACAGGTGTGAAGCTCAATTCGTTTTTTATTCGTTATGAATAAGCGTTTCTGATATTACTGAATTAAAAATAGTGTTGAAGCTATCGCCGTTACAGGTAAATGCAATAATTATCGCCAGATTTTTCCGAATGGTGATACTCAATACTAGAGTGTATTCTATTAAAACAAAGTACAACTCGGAATCAAAAGTCACTTTAACAGTGTTTCCTATTTGTTATGGAACCGACTTTACTGGGGTTGGAGATTGACAACAACATGCGGTTTTCCCGTTTGAAGTCTGGTATCTTAGCATTAAACTTGTCATATAATCGCTTGATTGATACATTCATGTACAGGACGTTTGAAGTGCCTGTCCTGTTAGTTGAAAGATGTTGACATTTCAACTGGTATTTTCTTTTATTATACGTCAACAGAACTCACTTAATGTATCTTCACTTTCTAAAAACTCGAGCAATTCTACACGCCAAGTTAGAGTTTGTGGAGTAATTTATATCTCTATGTATTTCTGTTGAAGTGGCATATATAAATAATATTGAGATTTTCAAAGTGATCTCTACAAGAATCGTAATATTCTAAACCGATCATGACTCTAATGGCTTTCTTCTGAATAATGGATAGCTTATTTATTTTACTAGAATTACCCCATAATGTTATACCATAGCTAAGCTGCAATTGAAATGGCGCAAAGCAGCAACATTTTAGTACTTGTAGCTTGACCCATGATTTCAGTTCCCATAAAAGTAGAAGGGATTTGCTTAATATTTCAGCAAGCAAGTCCATGTAATGAACCCAACTTGATGAATCATCTAGAACTATTCCATAAGTTCACATTTCCAGCCCTGTCTTGGTTTAGTTTTAGATAATTCGCAGTGAACCATTTGATTGCTTTTCTAAATTAACGATAGCTCTTTTTTCGAGCCAGATAGATTACGGTCCGCACATATCAATGATATGCCATCACAAAGGCCTGTAATAAGTCATTTAGCAAATAGCATAGCAAGGACTCAAGATTGAACCCTGGGGCACCCCACAACCAAATCTCCTCTGAATCGGATGCAGCCCCGTGTACCACAGCATACAGCCATATGTTTCAGATTTTATTACTAATAAATCATGTGAATATACTATATATACTCTCTATACTCGCCCAGAAATAATGAAAAAAGAAGCTATAACTAGCTCAGCTAGAGGCATGTAGGGAAAAGTTGACAATGTTACGGTGAGAGCAGAGAAAACATCAGAGAACAAGTTAATATTCAAGAAATTTTACTAAGAAAAAGTGTTTCTATTACATATTCGATCAAAGTATAGCTAGTTATAAGAAAACAAAATCCATAGAGAGGTTGGTGTCAGCTTTTTGATGTCGCATGGGAAGAACTCTCTCTCCATGGCTTCCATAGTGCCAAGTACAGGTCCCAAACCGTAAGCCTAAAGTTAGCTGGAGATTGTGGGTGGGCGATTAGTGTAAGACATAGAACTTGATGAAGATTAGACTCAAGTTAGGCTAATGTTGATGTAGCCTTTGTTTAGCTAATGCTCTGGGCAAGTTAAAGGAAAGCTCTATATAAGGGCTAAGGTAAGGTGTCATGGATGGCGGCAATCTGGAGAAGATTGAATACACTAGTTACGTATTTATTGGCCATTAGTCTTGTCTGAAAATGAATCTAGATTTTTTAGGTTACAATGGAGGTGGTTTGAATTAGTCAGACGAAATAAAGATAATGCTTTTCCAAAATAAAATAGCCACCAAAGACTTGAAATTATTGAATTATTAAAAATCCCCTATGGTTGCGTAATTTTTTAACAGCGCACATGTGCGAATTTCATCAGCAGTTACATAATTCCTCGAAACAAAATATCGAAAACATATGCACATACACAGGCAAAATCATCCTGGAAATTTATTTGTAGCAAAATTTCAGGAAAATTATGAAGGAGGATTAAAATATTTCCAAATTACTTCCGCACAAATGAGCAAATTGGAATAGATATTTACAGATCAAAAGCAGGCAAATAAATATAATTACATATAATATCAAACTCGCCATTTTGCATAATCAGACACATTATAATTAAATTTAGCACATGATGCTCTCAAATTACGCCGTCAGCTAAAGCGAACCAACGCGTTTTATTTGTCTAGAGAAAAATAAGGGGGTAGGCAAAAGAAACATGGAATATTCCGCAAGTGGATTTTGCAAGATCGGTGAAGTGAACAAAAAAAACATTTGTCATTTGTCCACATCTTTGCACCAATTCATTTGATTTTTCACTCTTCGAATACTGAAAAAGACATATTGCTCTCTCGTTTGTCCACATTGGCCGACCATTTAGTTCCGTTTACCCACCTTTTGAATTTGGTGGAAATCGGAAAAAGATCGGTCCACGCTGGCCCCAAATTTCTAATCAAATAACACCAGAATTGCCGATAACGGTTTGTTAAGAATAAAATTAGTTCTCAATATTTGCTGACCGTTTCAAACACATCATCATCCTCTGAATTAGTTGAATAGTTATACCAACCACTTAGGGTCTACAAATATATTTTCTTAAATGAATTGAATATGGGGTTAACTTCCCACCCTTGCACAATTGCCGAAGATACTTGTAGTCAACTTCAGGAGCTTTTCTGCGTTCTGATAATATACATAGAAATGGATTTTAGGAACGGTGGGGTCGTTACAATTTGGAATGCCAAAAGAATTAAAAATGTTTAGGCTATTTAGGGGTACTCGAATTTCAAATTGATTTTCTCTAAATCAATCTGGTAGAGGCCTACCTCTTCCGTCTTCATGACCACTTTCTTCAAAAGCGTTAAGTTCTTACATATTTAATCAACTGAATATAATTTTGAACATACTATTTATGTATTTCACTGCTGCACTAAAGATCAAAGGTATGTTTTCAGATTAACCCAGATGTAGTTGTTTGTAAATCGGATATAGTTATTGAACTTTACAATCCAGATGTGTTGTACAATTAATTTTGTTATTTCTAATCTTCACCAAAACCCCCAAGTTTTGTATTTTGAAGCCACGGTTTGCAAAACTGATTTTGTATTGGATATCCATGTCCAAATCACATCAGTCTAGAACGCTTTTAATCAGCTTTAAGTTAACGTCAAAGACGCAGTGAATCTTTTACCAAAAAATAAAGAGAACTCTCTGGTTAAATAGAAACATTCAACGACAGTTCCTTATTGATCGAGTAAGCGTAGAAACGTTCTACGGAAGAATTCCATCTGGACGTCGCCGGGGAAAATATATTGTCATTAAAAAAATTCAATAAACAGCAGAGTACAATAAGAATCGCGTGCCTGTTGCAGACAACTTTGTTGTTTCGATTTCCCGGGCACGTAGCTGGAATTTTCTTTTAGGAAATTGTAAAGCAAACTTTCTCGAGCTTCTGTGCGGTGCTTTGCTTGATGTTTTGTTGGAGTTTTGTTTTGGAGTTGTGGATTCAAATTAAACGGCGAATGTAAATTCTACTTCAGGCATGGTAAAATGCTGTTTGCGATTGAGGTAGAATTAATTTGCAGGTATCTACAAGGCCATGCTATATCAGATTGTACACAAATTTCGAATGGCCTAAATATTCGACACTCCTTGAATTGAAACGAAGTGACTGATATAACCAGCACAAAAATGCATTGGTGGCTGTAAAGGACGTATCACCGGTTAGTTGGATGGCTTCGTATGAACCACATCTATTTCTAGTTATCTAATTATTTAACAACATCCAACCGCCAAAGCCAGAATGGACAAACATGAAAATAAAAAGAAGAAGTTTAAAGTGTTTGCATATATTTCTTAAATGAAGCGGATCGTTTAATAAGTTGTCAGTGAAAACTGACCCAAAGCTTTACGCCAGATGCTACCTGCAATACAGGATTATTAAGAAATGGTTCTTTAGGACAGAGAGCAGATTCAAATACGAGTAGCTCATACAAATAAACCTGGGTTTTGAAATGCCAGCTTACCAAAATAAAGCGTGTTGACTTTGTAGTTGTCAAGTCGAGAAAAATATATCTCTTGAGTGAACAGTGGATAGTGGTGTTGACTTCTGACTGAATTTTGTATACGTCGGGTATTTCAAATTTGATCTCACCATTGAGATCTCGGAAACGACGTTTCTTAAATAGGGACAAAGTTGGGTATTCAGGTAACTAACAAGATCCCATTTAAAAAGTTTTGAAAGCCAAAGTAACTCCGGAGAGGGAC